TCCGTCGTCGAGCAGCGCGCGAGTGCCGTCGTCGTCGTCGTCGTCGTCGTCGAGGTGGTGCAGAGTGCGGCATGGCAGTGGAAGGCCGCTCCGGCGCCGGGCGCTTCCAAGATGTTAGCTCTGATGACGATGCGCAGGGAACACGACGAGACGAGGAGTGATCGCGAACGCGAACGCGACGCCGGTGGTGCCGACGAGTTCGTGGACATCCTGCAAGTGCAACAGCTGCTGTTGGACGGGGGACGGCGGGAGCCGCCCCCGCCCAGACTGCTGGACGCCGCCGCCGCCGCTTTCCCACCGCCGACTTACTATCTAGGACAAGGATATGGACAGTCGGCGACCAGCGTTGACGATCTCGTCGCGCTTTGGTTCGCCGCCGGACCCACGCCTGCAGGTAGATTATACTACATTTTTTCTACCATTTAAATGACATGCGCCAAGAGAGTGGCGGGGGAATAACGCGACCAATCACGTGCACACCCCTCTGACAGCTGACACGTGTTTCGGCAAATTGACATCATCATTGCCACTTTGCTTATTTCGTTCCACGGTTTAAACCTCCTGATGATTAATGAGAAAATGGACAAAAACAACATACTTTTTTTATAATTTTTCAAAATTTGTAGTTTCTTGCTTGTTAGTCTATAAATAACGACCAACAATAAGAAAGTGTCTAATGTCAGAAGTATTTGGAAACAAATTCTCTTTGACTTCTTATTACACAACATTTTTGTCATTTTAAAAACACACTTTTCTTTTTCTTCTGATTTTTTACTCTCTTAAACAATTTTACTTTTTTTAATAACAATAAACAATACAATGAGAAATACAATTTATTGTTACTAATTTTATCATTTTCCTTCTCATTTTTTACAGTTTTTACTTAGTTTTTTTTTATTATAAAAGCAGTATAAAGACAGTCTCAAAAATTACTCTAAGGTTTTTTTTACATTTTTTTGTCATTTGACTTTATTTCTTACATGTACAAAAATATTGGCCATAAAAACCAGAAATAGATAATCTCGAAACCACTTAAGAATAATAAGTTTCTCATTGCACAACATTTTTGTCATTTAAACACATTTTTTTCCAATTTTTTTAATCTCTTATAAACACTTTTACTTCTAATATTTAGTAACAGCAAACAATATAATGAAAAATACAATTAATTGTGACTAATTTTATCATTTTCTTTCTCATTGTTTTCAGTTTTTAATTTTTTTAGTCCTCAAGATGTTTGTCATCTAAACACATTTTTATTTTTTTCCAATTTTTTCATCTCTTAAACACTTTTACTTCTATTTTTTAATAACACCAAACAATTAAAAAAAATACAATTTATTATTATCCTTCTCATTTTTTCAGTTTTTACTTAGT